AGGCCATTGTCTACCAATGACCGTGATTTCTTCAATGGCTTCTGCAGCCTGGGAAAAAGAGTCTGAGGAAGTTAAGACAGAGTATAAACGTATTTCAAAAGAAGCTCATTTGAAAAAGAAGGCAATGTATCCAAAAGAAAGAAGAAGAAGAAGAAAAGAAAGATGGAATGTTGTATCATTTCAACAACCCAATATTATTAAACATCATGAAAATAATGAAGATCTCAATCTATATAACCACAACAACAACAACAACAGCAATCATTTATTGTTATTATGCACCTAATGCGAATATTTTCCGGTAAGTTTTATCCTATTTACTGTTGCTATTTCTTTTGGCCACGGAGGAATAAGATAAACCCTATTTAGGACAAATTCCGACAAAAATTTCTCGGTTAAATTTCTCCGGACGAGGTAAGATAATATTCTATTTTGTACAACTTTCCCTTTCTTTACCTAACTTTAATTCCAATGAGCTTTATAATTTTTAATTAGGTTAGATTGAATCATCCAATATTCATATGTTTTTAGGAATATTTAATTAATTATTTAACCTTTTTTTCCTATGGATGAAGGTTATTTAAACATACTTGATAACCAACACGACCAGGGATTTTCATTGAAAACGTAGCAGAAAAAATACATTTAACAGCGATGAAGAGGAGGAGGAAGATTACGATAACGATGATTCTGGTAGTTATGTTTTGAAGTCATGGAATAGTAAAAAAAGAGCAAGATCATATCAGGAAAGTGTAAGAATTGATTTTGAAGTTGTCGAACAAGATGATGAAAACCCATTGCCGGGTTTTATTGATCCTATTACATTAGAAGAAGTTAATCGTCCAGCAATTTCTCCTTATGGACATGTGATGGGGTACGAGTATTATTAATTAATCAATAATTATATTTTTATAATTTATTATTAATTAAAATTTTGTTTGTTTACTTGTTTACTAGTTATGACAATTGGGTAAAATGTCTCTCTACAAGTCCAAATAAAAACATTTGTCCTTTGACAAAAAAACC